TAACCCAACCAGTACCAAAAAGGGAACCCTTTTCAGCTATATACAATGAAGGATGGAGGGACCATCCTAATTTACAGTGGGGGGTGGTGAGAATAGGAACTTCAATAATAAGTTCTCATCCAGCAATGCTAGGCCATCACAGTTTCAGACCATAAATTAGACTCTGGTTGAGTCATCTAAAGTGCTCATATCTATTCAGGACAACTCCAGCAAAAATGAGAATACTAATCTACTCTTAAAGGGATTGATGACTCAGTTGAACAATCAAATGGCTACAGCCAAGCAATCTTTGCTGAATCAAATGAAAGAAGACAAAAATTTCTACACTTCTTTGTTGACTTCAGCAATGCAGAAGATGGACAGTGATAAAGTAACCATAAATTCTCAACTCACTTCTATTTGTAAGGATCTAGAAGAAGTCAAGATGAAGAATTCCAACCTTTCTTCTTATGTTACATAGCTGTCTAATAGCATAAGTAATCAACAGGCTCAAATAGGAGGCATTTTACCTTCAAACACTGTAATAAATCCAAAAGCACCACATGCTATAACTTTAAGAAGTGCAAAGAAGATTGGAAATAAAGAGGAAGATGAGGAAGATGCTCTGCAAAATGGTAACTTAGAGGACCAGCATGACACAAGTAAAACTTTGCTAAATACAAATGCCTATATTGGCATTAATTAAACAAATGCCTAGTTATGTTATGTTTCTGAAGGAATTACGCACAGATAAAAGGATTTGCAGACCCAATAAAAGAGTCCAACTAGGTTCTAATGTTTTAACATTATTCAAACCTCAACTACCTATCAAATGTGCTGATCCTGGTTCCTTTACAGTCCCATGCCAAATAGGAAGATTGAACTTTAGTAATGCACTTTTAGACTTAGGTGCTACCATTAATGTGATGCCCCATTCAATTTATAATTCATTAGGGATCACAAACATCAAAACCACTAGTGTAATACTTTAATTGGTTGATAGGAGTACTAAGATACCTGATGGATTTTTAGAGGACATCTTCGTCAAGGTCAAGGGTCTTGTAATTCCAACAGATTTTTATGTCCTAAATATGTCAAATGAGTCTTCCCTTGAAGAACCTTTGATATTAGGAAGACCATTTTTTAGGACTGCAAACATTGTAATTAGCTTAAAATATGGTTTCATTATAATGGAAGTTGGTGATCAGGTTGTTAAATTTAATGTTTATGAAGCCATTAAACATCCATTTGAAGATTATTCTTTGTTGGGGTTAAATATGATTGATGCCGCTGTTGATTGTGCCATTAAAGAACATGGAATAACTTTGCATGAATATGCTGAAAATAAAGAAGAAGACTGTAATGTTTGCTCATTTGATTCTGCCCTCATCCATTCAAATTCTACCTCTTCTCATTGCTTAGAGAGTGATGTGTGTAGTATTAGATGTTTGACATTTGATAGCTCACTTTCCACCTCTAGGGCATTTCACTTTTGTTTTTTAGAATCAAATGGTAGCTCTATTTCTTTATTTTGTGGATATAATGCACTTGGGAAGGATGTTCTGTGTAGTTTTGCAAAATTGCATTAAAAGATGGTTTCATTATAATGGAAGTTGGTGATCAGGTTGTTAAATTTAATGTTTATGAAGCCATGAAACATCCATTTGAAGATTATTCTTTGTTGGGGTTAAATATGATTGATGCCGCTGTTGATTGTGCCATTAAAGAACATGGAATAACTTTGCATGAATATGCTGAAAATAAAGAAGAAGACTGTAATGTTTGCTCATATGATTCTGCCCTCATCTATTCAAATTCTACCTCTTCTCATTGCTTAGAGAGTGATGTGTGTAGTATTAGATGTTTGACATTTGATAGCTCACTTTCCACCTCTAGTGTATTTCACTTTTGTTTTTTAGAATCAAATGGTAGCTCTATTTCTTTTTTTTTCTGGATATAATGTACTTGGGAAGAATGTTCTGTGTAGTTTTGCAAAATTACAAGACTTATTTAACAATGACTCCACATCTGAAAGTGAGGAAACATTTCAAAGCTACACAAGTGTAACTAGTCACTTCTTGGAAAATTTTACAGCAATGGGATCTGAATCTTTAAATGAGGATGGACAATGTTACAAAATAGTTGTACCTCCTACACGTCAATTTCAGAGGTTAAGGGAGTGAGTACAACAATTCACTTTAAAGAATTTAGCAGCTAAGAGTAAGGAACAAGACAAAAATTCTGAACCCCCAACGCAAATTAGCTTAATTACCAAGAAGGGGAGTAATTTGAAACAAACCACATTGACTGACTTCTTTTCACAGAAATTAAACAATTCCTCACGTACACGTTGTGCTGCTATTGATGAAGGAATTACCACACAGAAAGATGCAGCACTAAATTTGACTCAATATGGGAATATATCTATGGACAGTGAAGAGCACATCAAATCCAGATATGATGAAACCGAAACAACAGGGAAGTTTCTTAGTGCCTTAAACTTTAACAGCTCATGCCTTCTATTGAACAACCCCTTGATATTGATTTAAAACCATTACCCCATAATCTGAAATATGTTTTCTTAGAAGCAAATGAAAAGCTACCAGTAATAGTAGCTAATTCTTTGACTAAACTTGAGGAAACAAAACTGTCTGTTCTTAAGAAATACAAAAGAGCAATTAGATGGACTTTGGCTGACATACTTGGAATAAACCCAATAGTGTGCACACATAGGATTTTGTTACATGAGAATGCTAGAGCCAGAAGACAGCCACAAAGGAGACTTAATCCCTTAATATTGGATGTAGTAAAAAGGAACAATTTGCTAAGTACTAGTATTATTTTTCCAACTAGTGATAGTGAATGGGTTTCACCTATCCAATTTGTTCCTAAAAAGAGTGGCATCACAATTGTGAAGAATAATAAAGATGAATTAATTCCAACTAAGGTCTGGAATTCTTAGAGAGTCTGCATTGATTATTGAAAATTAAATGATTCTACAAGAAAAGATCATTTCCCCTCCCTTTTATTGACCAAATATTGGAAAGATTGGCTTGTAAATCTCACTACTATTTCTTGGATGGATTTAGTGGATACCTTAAGGTTCCTATAGCACTGGAGGACCAAGACAAAACAACCTTTACTTGCCCCTTTGGAACCTCTGCATACCAAAGAATGCCATTTAGATTATGCAATACTCCTGTAACTTTTCAAAGGTGTATGACTTCTATCTTTAGTGAGCTTTTAGAACAAGGTGTTGAAGTGTTCATGGATGATTTTATCTTGTATGGAGACTATTTTGATGACTACTTACTGACTTGGGAAAAAGTTTTAGCTAAATTTGTAGAAAAAAATTTAATTCTTAATTTTGAAAAATACCATTTTATGGTGGATAAGGGGATAGTGTTGGAACACTTGATATCACAGCAAGGAATCAAAGTTGATAAGGCAAAGATAGAAGTGGTTTCTTCATTGCCTTGCCCAACTACATTAAAAGAATTAAGGTCTTTCTTGGGTCATGCTGGGTTTTATAGGTGTTTCACAAAGAATTTTAGTCAAATTGCTCTACCTCTTTCTCAATTACTACAAAAGGATGTTGATTTTGTCTTTGATAAGTGTTACAAGACTGCTTTTAACGAATTGAAGGCCAAGCTTGTTTCTCCACCTATCTTAGCATCTCCTAATTAGAACTTAGACTTTGAACTATCTTGTGATGCTTCTAATTCTGCGGTTGGGGTGATGTTGGGACAACAGGTAGAAAAACTGTCAAGAGTTATTATATATGCATCTAAGACATTAGATAAGGCGTAAACCAACTATACCACAACTAAAAAAGAATTATATGCCATAGTCTTTGCTCTAGACAAATTTAGACAGTACCTATTGCATTCTAAAATTATCATTTTCACTGATCATGCTACTGTAAGATTTTTGTTTAAGAAGCCTCAATCAAAGCCTAGGTTACTTAGATGGATGTTATTAATTCAAGAGTTTGATGTTGAAATAAAAGATAGGACAGGGGCAGAAAACCTAGTTGCTGACCATTTGAGTAGGTTACTTGATAATTCGAAACGGGTAGATGATTCAGATTTGGTTTGTGATGCATTTCTAGATCATATGCTTTGTACTATCACTATTAGAGAGCCTTGGTTTTTGAATTTGGTCAATTATTTAGTTACTAATGTGGTGCCTCCATTTATGAATTAGTTTCAGGTCCAGAAACTGAAAAGAGAAGCAAAATATTATGTATGGGATGCTCCACATTTATGGAGATTATGCAGTGATCAATTGATTTGTAAATGTGTTGTAGATGAGGATATCCCTTCTATCTTAGAATTTTCTCATTCTTTATCCTGTGGTGGTCACTTTAGTGTAAGGAAAACTTCAAAAAAATTTTGGATTCTAGTTTTTATTGGCCCTCTTTGTTCAAAGATACTTATGAATTTTTTAAAAACTATGACAAATGTCAAAATTTTGGTGGGCTATCTAAAAGACAAGAAATGCCTCAACAACCCATGTTATTTTGTGAAATTTTTTATGTTTGTGGCATTGATTTTATGGGCTATCTAAAAGTTGTTGATTATTTGCCTCACTAGATTGAAGCTATAGCTACTAGAAAAAATGATGCTCAAACAATAGTAAAGTTTCTGAAATCTAATATATTTTGCAGATTTGGGATTCCTAGAGCTTTGGTAAGTGATCGTGGCACCCACTTTGCGAACAGACTTATGGAAACGCTGCTGTCCAAGTATGGAGTCCCACATAAAGTAGCAACACCTGATCATCCACAAACAAATGGTGCAGCTGAGGTATCCAATAGGGAAATTCAAGGTATTTTGCAGAAAATTGTTAAGACGAATAGGAAAGATTGGAGTCTTAGATTAGATGAAGCTTTATGGGCTTATAGGACAGCTTATAAAACTCCAATTGGCATGTCTCCATTTAGTATAATCTATGGGAAAGCTTGCCATTTACCTGTTGAAATTGAACATAAGGCTTACTAGGTAGTTAAAACTTGTAATATGGACTTGGGAGTTACAGTTGAAGAGAGAAAATTGCAAATTCAGGAACTAGAAGAGCTGTGTTTAGAAGGTTATGAGAATTCCTGTTTATATAAAGAAAGAACTAAAATTTTACATGACAAGGGGATTTTAAGAAAGGTTTTTCAGGAAGGAGATAAGGTACTTCTCTACAAGGCAAGATTTAAGCAAGGGAAACTACATGCAAGATGGGATGGACCATTTGTTGTGCTCAAAGCTCATAATTTTGGAATGATAGAGATCCTGGATGAGCAAACTGGACATGTTCACAAGGTCAATAGACACTTGATAAAGCACTGTCATGCCAATGACAAGCCATCGTAATCAGATTGGTTGTGCTCTTTTCTCCCTATCCTTTCTAATTTTGCATTGTCATTATTACTACTCTGTTTTCACACATTGCATAATTTAAGTGTGGAGGAATAGAGGATTTCTCTAGTAAAATATATATAATACCATATAAAAAGTTTGGTTCTATTCTATTATTTTCCTTTTGTCTGCTGCTGGACACTTAGTCACACATGTGGAGCACAATTCTCTTTAGAATAGTGTTGTTTTATAGCAGTAAATGTTTTATGTCCTTCCTTCATGATTAATCCTTTCCTTTTGTGGCACATTGAGGACAATGTATGTTTTAACTATAGGGGAGTATGACTGTAATCTTCAAAAATTTTAGGAGTATTCCTGCCTTGCTTAGCAATTTGACTCTTGGAGTAAATTTGATTTGAGCTGTTAGTCTTTACTGGGATATTGGTTAATATTGCATTTTCACTAAATCAAACTTGTTTGAATTCCTAAGCGTAAGTGGCTAGATGTTTTTCAAATTTTGGTACAAATAGATTTTATTCAAAATTTCTGTCAAGCAGTTAGGGATTCTATCAACTTTGGTTTACTGTGGAATTGGTTAAATCCTTACTGTAGCAACTTGACTCTGTAGTTGTAAGAAAATGGGCCAGTCTACCCTTTGTGGATTGGACCCAAGCCCATTATCATTTGGGGTCCTAGTGTAAATAACAAGACTTGTAGGTCTTAAAGTGCAATTTTTGCCATCTTACATAAATTTGCCAAAAGCGGGAACAGTTATGTCGAGAGAGGGTATGCCCGAACTCCTTCATTGGTATCAGAGCAAGGTTTATATTTTTTTTCTTTCCGCTACACGAGTTCAACTTCTGCGTCTTTGTTGGTTCAACTTCTGCATCTTCGTTTTTTTTAAAGTTGTTGTGTGCCTCATGGTTTGGCATTTCACACTACCTTAAGTGATTTGCTCTCAGATATTAAGCAAATCCTCTCTTTATATTCAGTATAGTAATTGTCTATGGTGTATTTAGATAATTTAGTGTTGTTTTTTCAGAGTTACTCATTGCTTCTATGGCTTCGGTTATCATAAATTTGTGTCTCCAACTATTGTATGTTACTATTCTGTATGGGAGATGACCTAAAACAGCGAAGAACGAACGTCGGATGGAGGAGATCTTGGGGAGAGAATATTTCGGGTCCGACGAACCCGACCCGCTAAGGAATCCGGGTCAGTCAGACCCGGCTAGAGGTTGAAGACAACCTCCAACTCCCAAACAACGTCATTTTGACGTCGCCCAAAAAATTTAAAAATAAATAAATAAATAAATAAATAATAAAATAAAATTAAAAAATAATAATAATAAAATTTTTAAATTATAATTCATTAAATTAATCTTTTTTTTTGCTAGAATTGCCACGTGGCGCGTTCCGACAGCGAGAGTGGGCTAAGTTTTTTATAAAATTTTTCGCTAATTCTTCCTTCTAGGGGTACGTGTAGGCGCGTGAATGGTCCAATTGGGGTGTGGTTTGTCTCTAAAAATCCCTAAAATTAGGATCTTCATTTTAATATATAATTTGCTAACTTTAGAGACAATTAAAGATTAATTTGTGAGTATTTTCAGTGTATTTTCTGGTATTTTCATGCGGAAATAAATTCCAGAATATTCAAAATAATTTATATTATTTTGTTCTAGGTGAAAATAGAGCAAGAGGCTTCTAGTAGCACTGAAAATACCGATCATGGTTCGTTGGAATATTCATTCCTAGGTGATGGAATTCCAGAATATGAATCTGAGGATGAGGATCCTGAGGAGGACCCTGAAGAGGTTCCTCAAGAAGACCCAGAGGAGTTAGTGGATTCCGGACCTGAGTTGGAAACTATGTTCCCCACTGAACCCCTCCCTATCGAACCTCAATTAGTCTATAAAGATTCACTGGGTCTCCCTAAAAAATTGAAGTTGAGGAAGGAGAAGAGGTGAACCAACCTTTGACCCCTACATTAGCTATGAGTATAGCTGAGACAGATGCAGCTAAATTAACAAACATAAAAGGCATCAATGGCGTGCTCGCTAGCTACATCCATTACATGACCGATAAGAAGAATACCGAATTCTACCTTAGAGTCATAATGGAGTACATAAGAGCAATAAGGGTTAGAGGTGGACCTAAAGGCAAACCCATAAGAAAGTCTTACTAGATTTGGGCCATAGAGCTAGTGTCCTCCTTTATGAACAAAACGTGCAAACTTAGAAGCCTAAGAAAAGCAATGCTTGATTACCTTTATGTTCATATAAAATGATGTAATATTTGTATTTGCCTTAAGTTTGTGTTTTCATGCATTGTAAACATACTAAGTATGTTATTTCATTTAATGAAATTACTTGAATTATTGTTGTATGATTATTTGTGAATATCATGTGTATGCCTTTTATAAGTGGGAGCTTTTAGAAGATAAGACTTCTAAAGGTTACATTTTTAAAGTGCTTATATAGTATTCTTGATAGAATATAATGATAATTACTAGTATCTGTGTGATGGGAGGTACAAACGTATTCTCCTGATCATAGATCTTGTAATTTCATTATTTACTAATCGAGGATAATATAGGCACATTACATTGTATACTTCATTGTGCTATATAACTGAAATGTTCTTTGGTTTGGTTCTCTTCAAAGAGAACATAGATTAATGTGGGATAGATTTGTCACAGAACTAAAAATGGCAACCAAGAACATAATTGCTGAATTGAACAAAGGGGAAAAGCTTAACAGGGGACAACTGGGACATCTGGCACCGAAAGGTCCAGTATATCCTAGAAGAATAGGATGCGATAGAGCCTCTCACCACTGCTATGGTTGAACCTGAAGCTGGCAACACGATCCAGCACAGGAGAGACCAAGAGGCATATCTAACCTGGAAAAAGAAGAATAGCATAGCAAGAATCACGCTTTTGAGCTCTATGGCTGACGACCTGATGTGCGAGTTTGAGTCACACAAAACTGCACAAGCTATGTGTATAGCATTGAAGGATAAGTTTGGCGGAGTCTCTACAACCAAGCTTAGAAGGTTGACGATTAAGTTCGATACCTATAAGCTCAAGCCAAACAATCCTATGAAGCAACATCTGAGAGAGATGGCCAATATGATCCGGGAACTGAAGGAAGCTGGACATAACCTGTCTGATGAGCAGCAAGTGCAGGCTGTCATCAGGTCACTCCCTGCAAGTTGGGAGCACATGAAAGTCAACCTAACCCACAATGAAAACATCATCACTTTTAATGATGTAGCTAAGCATCTGGAGCTGGAAGATGAACGTCTAGAGGATTACGAGAGCTCTGGACAGACCTATTTGACTGAGGATACTGGTACTTCCCAATCTAAGCCCAATTTCAAAAAGGGCAAGAAGCCCTAAAAGAAAGGGAAGAAGGGCGGTCCTCAATTTAAAAAGGGCAAGAAACAATTCAAGAAGAAAGGAAAGAAAGGCGGGAAGAAGAAGCTAGACCTGAAGAAGGTCAAATGCTTCACTTGCCAACAAATGGGCCATTTCGCACGTGATTGTTCCAAACAGGCTGAAAATGAAAAGGTATTAGTGAATTATGTGAATTCACATGTTTCATATGTTTCTAGTACTGTTTTTTCTAACAGAACCTGTTTCTTCTTCTTGGATTATAAACTCAGGCTCCACAGACCACGTAAGCAGGGATCGGGGATCCTTCGTGGAATACCGTCGGTTGCCGTATCAAAGCAAGTGGCTTTACGTTGGGAACAATGCGAGAATCGAGGTTCGAGGCATTGGCACCTGCAAACTTGCTTTGCATAGTGGAAAGACCTTGATACTCCATGATGTGCTTTATGCCCCTGACATCTGACGGAATTTAATTTCTGTTATTTGCTTAGTAGACTTTGGGTTTAATGTTAATTTTCATAGCAAAGTTGCAGACATTTTCTTTAACTTAGAGCTTTATGGTTCAGCATTCAGATTCCAGAAATTTTTTGTTATGGATCTTGCTTTTGGTTTTAACGCTCATGATTGTTTTGCTATTTCTTCAAGCAATCCTGATATGAATATCTGGCATGCTAAACTAGGACATATTAATCAAAATAGAATGATTAAACTGGCAAAAGAAGGAATGTTGGGCGCAATCCCTAACATGGAAATGTCCTTATGTGAAAATTGTCTAGCTGGTAAGGCAACTAGAAAACCTTTCGGTAAGGGAACAAGAGATGAAAGTCCATTGCAATTAATCCATTCTGATATCTGTGGTCCAATGAATGTGTGGGCAAGACATGGAGCTTGGTATTTTATTACCTTCATTGACGATTTTTCACGATATGGTCATGTCTATTTGATCTCGCATAAGTCTGAAGCTCTTGAATGCTTTAGACAATACATAAATGAGGTAGAGAATCAAATGGACCGTAAAATTAAAGCATTACGTACTGATCGAGGTCGTGAATATTTATCTGATCAATTCAAACAGCTCTGTGAGGAAAAAGGGATAATTAGACAACTGACTATCCCTGGTACTCCACAACAGAATGGAGTGGCTGAGAGGAGGAATAGAACTCTTCTAGACATGGTTAGGTCTATGATGGCTCAAGCAAACCTACCAATTTCATATTGGGGTGATGGTTTATTAACGGCAACCTTCATACTTAACCGTGTGCCCTCAAAATCAGTCGCTTCCACACCCTATGAATTATGGACAAAACGCAAACCGGATCTAAGTGTCCTAAGACCCTGGCGGTTAGCGGCATATGTTCATGATGATTCCCACAAGCATGGGAAATTGGGTCCTAGAGGAAAGAAGTGTATCTTTATAAGGTACTCTAAACAATCCAAAGGATATGTTTTCATAGGTGAAAACGAAGATGGAACAGTGACTGAAATGGAATCAAGAGATGCCACATTCATTGAGACTGAATTTCCTAAAAGAGGAGATATTGACCACTCTGTATCTCTTTATGAGACACAAGAACAAGTCAGTGCAAAACAAATTGACAGACCAGAATCGTCTAGGTGTGTC